ATATGAGAAGTTTGGGTGACAGTCTGACAGTACGTTTGACGTACCTTTTTATCTTCAATTGTACGTACCGAAACATACTCCACTGTATAGAGGACGTTGAAATTCACCTCCTGAGGTGAGAAAATTTACCAAAAACTAAACAGTGAGCGGATAAAAGGCACACGAAAGTGTGTTGAATTGAGATTATTTTGTCAAGCATTCATTTCAGAGGTTCCACGGTGAGTGTCAACATGTGATCGTTTTCGGGGATGGGACCGTGTTATTTGAGTTTTTGGGCTCAACGTTTCGCACACTTTCGTAAATGGCATCTTCGGGAGCAGGGTTGAGATTGAGAAATTAGGAATAACACAAAAGAGCACGGTAACTCAGTATGTTAACCACACCAGAGGCGAAACTCTTCTGGCAGTAAGAATGTGGTTGTGACCTTTTTCTAGAGTCGAGAGAGAGAACTAGGAAAAAAAAAACGACAGAGAGAAAACTTGGGTAACAAATGAGATGTCAAACAATAATTCCAGTTTTCTGTTCTTTAATCTCTACATGTCACTTATCAGTGTTTAAAACAAAGACTGCTTATGGAATTTCTTTTTTAATGTGTATTTTTAAGTAGCGCGTGTACTTCAAAATGCATACTATACGCATATTTATCTGTCCTAATCTGATCTAATACTACCAAACGAGCCGAGTGAAACTCGGTCAACCAGATATTTTAAAGTTAATTCACGTGCCTTCTCTTTATGTGAAAAAAGAGTATGCTTTTTGAACATCTTCCAGTGATGTTGTTTAATTTTTATCAGTTTAACTACCTCTCTTGCAAACCAGGGTGGGTAGTTCTCTCGTGGTTTTGGTTTTTTAGGTACATATTGCTCAAACAATTTCATAATTATACTGTTAAGACAAGCACATGCATCATCAACATTTTGATTATCCATTAACTCAGTCCAATTCCAGGAATTAATTGCACTGTATAAGCCTAATAAGTCGGCGTTCTTAAAATTAAATGATACCTGATTCTCCAACATCTCGAATTTTGTGAGTGTAAATATTGCAATATCAGTTTATTAATCATTTTTATTTTAATTGCTTGTTTGTTAAGATTTTTAACTTTAACAATTCTAAAACATTCATGGAAAATTTTCCTGTAAAACATGTGGAAGAAACTCACTTGTTCAGGTTCAACTTATTTTAAATTAATTATTTATCTAAAAGTTCTGGATACTTTTACTTAAGTTAGTACATTATTCACACTTCATAAACTTCTCAATAGAGATTTATTTTATAATAGTTTATAATTTATGGAATTTATACTAATTTTAAAGGTTTATCCATTTTGGGAGAATGAATCTTAGAAATTTTTATGAGTCAAATTAATAACATTGTGGACAGGAATGTAGGGTTTAATTTATGTTTTTTACTTCCTGAGCGTAAACAAAGGAAGTATTGTAATCGAGTCCGTCGGTCGACTCTCTACTCTTACGTTTTCTCGACCTTTCATGACCCCTAGAGGACGTAGAAATAGGTCTCCCGTTTCCGTCTATCTGTCTGTCTGTCCGTCTATTCGTCCCGGATTTTTATTAGATAGATAATCTCCGAAAGTACTTAACTGATTGTTGTCAAATTTTGTATTTACATTAGGAATATCATGTAGATGGCAAAACGCTGATGACGTCAAGATGTTTTAAAGTTATGATAAGCATGATACATTTTTAATCAAAATATATTTACTCATCCCCACCTAAAAAATTGATGACGCCAGCCCAAAATTTTGCTGAAAACATCCAATCTTAAATGCGTAAAATATGATGAGTCTATATATATGCTTGTGATTTATCACTGCATTAATATTTTTTAGATCGGGGTGTCTGAAAAAAAATGACTGACTCAATTTATTTTATTGCTTAAATCAAGAATTGCAAAACTGAATACTTTGAAATCTTTACGTTTTGAAGTTATTGTAAGCATGGTAACTTTTTAAGCAAAATGTATCTGTTTATCAACCCCAAAAAATTGATCACGTCATCTCAAAATTTTGCCGAATAAATTCTTTTGAAAATGTGCAAAATATGATCGGATTATACTTCTAACTTATCATTGCATTCATATTTTTTATATTTGCTTTATACAGGGTGACTCAAAAAAAAAATGAATCAATCAATTTATTGTTGATCAAATTACGAACAAGCCACCCCGTTTTCTCGAAAATGTGAGAATACGCTTGTCTTTATAAGAATAAAATAATGATAAGGTAAGAATTATAATAATAACATCCAGAATATTTTGTTCAATTGTGGCTTATGAATAATTTTAGTCATCTGATAAACTCATTCAAATCAAACAAATGTCTTGGTGACATTAATATTTTTAATGCTACGCATATTGCTCAGAGAGCTTAATTCTCGTTGACAATGTGCTGTAAATACATATACATATTTTTTGCACTCATGAGATCACTGATGACTTTCGCGCATTCATCAAGATGCGGGAGGTCGAAGTTCTCGCACACGTGTTTTTTGCTTTCCGTTGCCATGGTAACCTTAAAAGAGCCCAGAAACGTCAAATTGCTAAGTTTGCAGTTAAGTCTGCTTCCCGTATTCCCGCAACCGTTCATGTGGAAAGCAGGCTATCCCGTACTCGTGTTTCCCTTCAAATCAGAAACAGCACATCCCAATTTCATAATATGAGAATACAATAGTAGTATAGATAACTGTTATTATTACACTGTAATAAAGAACAATGTTTGCTTGATATAACGCGAAGGTGGATTTCGGTCACCATCGTTACTAACTGCCCATTCACAATGGACATAAGGCATAACAAGTACATAAAGCTTACATAAATACATAAAGTTGAAACGATGGAAAACGTGTACCCCTGTTCACAGTGGACGAACGTAATTCTTATGCTTATGAACGTTTTATGTAATCCGGAGGTATTCACGCATTAGGTGTGTGCAGTGTTGCCAATTTTACTTTTATAAAACTACATTTTTTTCGTAATCTACATCATAAAGAATTTTTTTATCATTTTTTTGGGACTCCCGAAACACCCGTATATAAGTAACGTACTGAAGAGTTAATCCGCCTTTTCCAGACACCCGGTATAATATAAAAAGTGTTCGAAAAATCATAAAATTTAATTTTGCGAATTGTATTATTACGTAAGCAAACAAAGTATTGTAATCGAGTTTTTTGGGGGCGGGTTATGTTTTGACAGTTCATGACCCATAGAGTCTGTTAAGATTGTCATTAGGTAGATAATCTCCAAAACTATGGAGCCCAATCTCCCTAGCAATGTCATGACATCTCAAAAATGTTTATAATAAATTTTATAAAATATTTAGCATACTCTTGTATTTGTTTTATAGAATACAAATTCGCAAAATCAAATTCTTTAATTTTGCAAGGAAGCGGGATTTGTGACACTACACTTCGAGGGTGAGGGAAGTTCTATCGAAATAACTTTCGATTAATTTTTTTAATACTGTTATTGGTCGACAACCTGAATTTGGAGATTTTATTGTTGAGATATTCTTGCTACGTGGAGTGCGCACCAAGCCCTCTTTATTTTTATTATTTAATCACTCTTGATAGAGTGTAGCATAATTTAACATTTTGTATATTTTTTTGTTATTTATTAAAGATTTATTAGCTTTGTAGTTTCAGTAATTAATCATCATCAGGATTTCTGGAGTACAAAATTCATTTACCTAATGCGGTCACCTGTATACAACTGTATAAAACTATAAAAATTAGCACATGTCGAACTTTTTCCAACAATAACGGGGGAGATTTTAACGCAAGCTTTGTCGTAAAGCTTTTTATTTCTAAATTCCTGGGGTACCTACTTTCTCATGGAGTGCGCTTGTTCTTTGGCATCGCAATCTGCGAGGAGCGAGGAAGCGGATGATGACGTTAATTATGCAACAACCTATGCTACGCGAGAGCTCGACCACTTTGATCAGAACCATGATCATATGATCCACTTTAACGACCATTCCGACAAATAAAAAAAATGGACGTACCTATAGGGTTCCATTTTGTTGACGATCACAGTTCAAAGCCAAAATATGAATTTTCGTGGGTTTTAAAATCCCCTCGATTTTGGCGGGAAGTTTGGGTTACCACAATACAATATTTGGTAGCCAATATTGGTGGTCAGCTTTTTTGAAATTGTACAAATAGTGGTACTAAAATTTAAAATTCAATGAGAAATTTCTTCTCGTTGAACAATCAGTGGAATTCATTTCTTGAAAACTTAAAGCAAAATTTAGGTATTGCAATGTGCATTAGGACGTTACATTTTTGAACTAACGAGTTATAAACCTTGAACTTTTCAAAAGCAAGGACGCTTCTCATCCGAATCTGATATCGAAATTTTTATCTGTTCGAGATAAATAAATAAGGTTTGGCAAAGAACAGTTGATGTTATAAGAAGAACATATATGTAGAGTCTCTATCTGAATAAGATCCACTTTTTCAACATGATTGCATAAGCTTACATTTCTTGAAGAGTGTCTAAGATTAGAATAATTTTCATATTAAGTTGCTAACCAGAATTCATTCGTTCGTCACCTGTAAAAGCTTGATTTTTGTAATTTTGTCAAGTAAGTCTTGCTTAAAATTTACCCTTTGATAGTTTTATTTGTGTTTTACTAATGTATCCATATTATCTTAGAGGAAGAAATAATAAGTGTGATTCATTAAGTTAAAAACTCCCTATCTATTTGCAAAATGTAGCAAAATAGTTATTATTTATTAATATATTGTATGTATCAGTACTGCTACATCTGTACCAACCTAAAAAGTTGATGACGTCATCACCAAACAGCATAGCATGTGGTTTTGTCTGAAGTTTAATATTTCTCTTCTACTATTGTAACAATTACCTTAGCATCTAGACTTGTTTCATTAATTGTGCTTCAAGGGTAAAGGAAGTTCTCTCTGATTAATGTATTATTATTTATTTTAAATAATACTACATGTTGATGTTTAAAAAACTCAAAATACGTTAATTGTTTGAATTTTATTTTTTAAAGTTTATATAGTAAATAAGAATATACAATTTTTCAAGGTTACATTTCGGTGAAATAAAAAATAACGTTCCATAAAGATTCAGAGTGCAAACAATACTCAGAACAATCACAAGAGTAAACCTGAAACTTCAAACTCCGGTAAGTAAGAGACCTTTCTTCTGAACTCATCAACAGTACACGCATATGAATATCCAGCTTGTACATCAGCGGGCTTCCAATGCAACCAGGTGATAAATGAAGAAATGTCTTCACAAATAATACTTTTTACAACGTCTTTTTGATATGGATTATTGATACCCAACAGAGCTATTCCTTTTTTACTTACAGGATCGTAGACAACCTTCCAAAACAATTCCGGTACTGCTATTGCGTTTAGATACCTTGAAAACAAAAAAAGAGGCACGTCTTCTCCCGTTTCCGCGTGAGGCAAGGTTGTCACTCCATAAATTCCTGTATACACTTTCAAATCCAATTTATTACTAGCGGCGTAGTTTCTTACATCAGATTCAACTGCATCCCAATTTAAGCTATTAAAAGATTGCCACTGTGGTGCGGTGTTCACGTAGTGAAATGTAGCAATTTGTTGATAAGTGTAGACAAAATCGTCCTTAGCAGTGAGATGACCACGAACGAGGAAATAATCGGTCGAATCTTTAATGTATCTTGTAGAGTTTGCAGGAAGTCCCAAAAGACAATTAATAACTGATCTTTGGTTACTAAGAAGGTACAAGTCCGTCATCCTAACGGGAAGTTGAGTATATACTAGTTCCTCCACGAAAGTAGGTCTTATAACGTCGCTTTCACGATGAGCTATAGATCGGGTGAGATTAAATGTGGAATAAAAGGGATTTCGATATTTCGAATCAAAGCAAATTGCTATCTCTCGAACAAAACTATCGTTGCCTACAATGAATCCAATTTCGATTTCTTGTCCGCCAGATTCGCAGGATTGCTTGAGTGAGGACGCTCTGTGATATGGATTTGTCGAACACGTGATTTTATTTAATTTAAAGGTGGTACCATTTGCTATAAATTTATTACCCTGTTTGCATGTCGCTGAAATTGTTGTTCCGATTGATGTTGAGTTTAGGGTTAATTGTCCACCGGGACATGATATGATGATAGATTGACCTTTTGCCAAAAACACTTCACTTGCGTCTGGATCAGGGTATAGAAATTGATGATCACTGGCAGATATAATAATTGGTTCAGGGTCTAAATTGGATAAATCGAAACTGCAACCTGCAATATGAGTGTTTATAGTATATTAAGACAAGAATTATGGAGGAATCATACCTGGACGTCTAGGAGATGGTGCTATTAGTGAAATTTGGTAAGCAATAATCAAGAAAAGGGCTAATTGAACCATTGTCGTGATGATAATAGTTTTCACTTTTTATTCATACAATTTCCCAGCATCTTCTATTGACTTAAAAAACGTACACTTTTAATTATCTCAATCAGATAACTATTTACAAATACTTGTTTGATCTAATAAATCAAAACCACTTGTTGACTATTGTTACGACGTAGGTGCGTCTTAATATACCAGGGTTACCCAGAAAGTAAATTACATTTAATCATGAATCTCATGCATAGTTTTCTTTCATTATTTGTGCAACAGTATCATATACAGTGCCATTTTAAAGTCAGCCCCTTCCTCCACTATAATTACAGAACTGTTGGGGACAAAGCTTTGAAATCTAAAACATGTAGGTGATTTAAGAATATAATGTAGATGGTAAATTTATGGGTTGATTGCGTCATCTCAAGATTTTATCGACTAATTATGTAAATAGTAGAACAATAACTACTTTATTTATTCTTTCAAATAATTACAAACAATTAATGTAATTTATGAATTAATTTAAGAAGAATAATGATTTAAAACCGTATAGAAAATACTCAGGCAATAGATGGATGAGCTAAACAATATTTTTTAATGTAGTGAAAATGATAGTTTATATTATTAGTTACGTTAATAATAGTTGAAGAGATTGTAAATTGCTATAGAACTTAGAAAACCTAGAAATACTTAATAATAAAAGGTAGCGTGGCGATTTATGATTGTGTTAAATGCAGACAATTGTGAATTCACGATGTTGGAAGAAACTTAAAAAGAAATATTATAAAATAGAAACGACTTAAAATATTGGAACATCCACGAATTGTTCAAAGTATACATAAAATAAAAGTGAGGAATGTACAATGTTTTCTAAATATGTACTTTACTCACATAACTGATCAAAAACTAGTTTTATAAATAAATAAAATGTGACCACGCAATGCAAGTGTTTTTCAAAAACTGACTATATATAAAAGAATTTACGTCATTCGCATTAACTACCTCAGTTCGTGCCCACCATAAAGAATTTGGCTGTCATAATCGAATTGCAAACTGCATATATTCGGAACACTGTTATTCAATAAAACAATAAACAATTTATATTCATAGCTTCTTAGACAAATAAAGTCGAACAATGTTAACAGTCTTAAAATACCATTTAAAAACACCAGTTAAAACCCACTTTTCCAAATTAATATTTTGTTGTGTCATCAGCTATGTAATTTGAAATATTCGCAAATTAAATTATGCTGGAAGCAATTTAAGATATTATGTTTTAAGCAGGAAATAATGTTCCACATTTATTTGTTGTTCATAACAATCATAACTAATGCAAGTAATAAGTAAATTTCAAATTTCTAAAAATATTACAAAGAAAATTTTGGTCTCTGTGTGGTATAAATTTCAACAAACTATTAAATTTTTTTGAAAATGTACCACACTACTCAGATAAGTACTCTTTATTTGCATTTTTCTGGAAGAATAAATATTTGTCTTTTGTAAAAGGCACATTTCAAAGATAAAGACACGATGTTGTAGGGTTATAAATATTTTTTTCAAAGTTTTAGCTACGACCAAGCATTCTTCTTCCAGTAGTAAATTCATGCCAAATACAATTATTGTAGGCCTTCTTATTAATGTTGGAGTAAAGGATCAAATTATATATGTACTTTTAATTTAGTTCGATAAAAAAAGTTGCTAACATTAGTTTTTGGTGAAGACAGTTTCTAAATCACACGAAACGACTACTGCCGTTGAGATTTACTTTTATTTCTCAATCTGGTTATCTTTCCTGTCTAGCTTCTTCGTTGCTTTTGACATGTTCAGGATACTTTTCCAATAATTCTATTCAGACAGGCTTTCCAGTCATATTAAATATTCTGTACAACGTCCACAGACATCTTTTTTGGGTATATGAAATGCTACGCTAAATTTCTCATTGAATATTGTTACGATGTACGGGCGAATAAAAATTGGCGTGGGTAAAACTCAACAATTTATTCCTTACTCGAATTTACACGACTAATAAGTATTGCAACGATTATGTACAGAAATTATTCCGGCGAATTTCACTGGACGCTCTTGACTCAACTAGCTGAATAATCCGTTCCCCAAAGGTGGACTCTATTTAAACAGCACGCGGTCCTTCTCGAAACCCTACGTCACCACTTCTAGACTCCTCCGGAACCCCCATTCGCGACTTCCGTTTCCAGGCGTTTTTTAGCGCTACGTCGATCAGTCGCATTGAGGATGAATCATCATCAGGGGAAGACCAGAGAGTTCTCGAGGACCATAGGCGTCGTACCGTGGCGGTGTAAGGGTGTATTTCGTAACAATATCTTCTGTATTTTTTATTTGACTACTCAATTTGTTGCTTTTAAAGATCGTACATTTTATTTATTGATAATTTGCCTTCTAGGTATATGTATGCTATTCTCGATGTTCTGGATAAAGGTCGACTATGGATATTTGACAGTTTTAGTTTAAAAACAGCTTAGAAATGAATTTGTTAATTCAATAATTGAATGTGACAAACGTAGAAGCTGCGTTGGCAAAGTTAGATTTCCTTTATCGGATGGTACGATAAACTTCGCTGTTAATAAATTTTTATATCATTTTAGATGCTAATTTATTTGATGTGTTATTATTACTTAAGATCATAGATACAATTTACAAAACAAATAATTAGAATTTTTAGAGTTATAGTTCGAAAACTTGCTTCTTCCAATTTTATTTAATAATTTTACCATAATTTTGGAGCCTTAAAAATATCTATTACAAATTTGATTGTTTGATGTATAACGTCTAATTATGTTCTTCTTTTTAACACATTCTTTTTTAGTTATGTTTGTTATACAACGGAGAGTAAATTTATGACGGAGCTTAATCTTTCAGTGTAATCACTTTACAAATTAGCATTATTAAATGTTAACATAATAAGTATTTACCTAACCTTAAACCTAACATAACTTTGACAAACTTAGTTCATTATTTTCCGTCGCCATTATTTCACTGGAGGAATCGAATTCATTATCTAGATCATCGTCATGATCTGTTTCTTATTTTTAATATCTTATTTTAAGATATAAAAAAAACTTTTTATTATAAATTTTGGAAATGACGTCATTCCATTGGAGGTGGGGATGATTAGAAAATTTTAGTTAGTACTTAACCATCTACATGATATTCCTAATATACATACAAAATATGACAACAATGGGTCCAGTAGTTTCGGAGATTACTTGTCTAATAAAAATATAGATAGATATAGACAGATAGACAGACAGACAGACAGACGGAAACAGGAGATCACTTTTTTCGTATTCTAGAGGTAATGACAAGTCAAGAAAAGTGGCAATTCGGCCGATGGACTCGATTACTTTACTTCCTTAGCTTACGCTCGGGCAGTAAAAATAGTAATGCAGTGATAAATCACAAATCAGTATAAACTCATCATATATAGCACATTTAAGATAGGATTTATCCGGCAAAATTTTGAGATAACATCATCAATTTTTTTGGAGTTGATAAACAAATACATTTTAATTAAAAAGTTACCACGCTTATGATAACTTTAAAACATCTCCAAGATTTCGGTTTGGCAGTTTCTGATTAAATCAGTAAAATAAATTGACGCTTCAATATTTTTTTTGAGTCACTCTGTAAAAGCAAATCCAAAAAATATTAATGGAACCATAAATCATAAGTAAAAACTCATCATATTTTGCACATTTTAGTTAGGATTTATATGGCAAAATTTTAAGTTGGCGTCATCAATTTTTTGGAGGGAATAAGCAGATATATTTTGACTAAAAATTTATTATGCTCTTCATAATTTTAAAACATCTGCAAGATTTCAAAACATTCGGTTTGGCAGATTCAAAATTAAACTGCAAAATGTTGTTTTATAATTTTGATTTTTTTTTCAAAAATCTAGACGTTTCAGGTAAAAACTCAACGCCGATTCATAAACTACATGTGTAGGACTATGTTATTTTATACAATTTAAAACACATTTACTATGTATAATTTTGAAGTGACGTCATCACATTATTGGTGGGGATGATTAGACAAAGTTTGGTTAGCGTTTAACTATCTAGATGACCTTTCTAACACGCATACAAAATTTGACAACAATCAGCCCAGTATCAGCCCAGTATCAGCCCAGTACTTTCGGATATTATCTGTCTAATGGCAACCGGGACGGCACACAGAGAGAGGTACAGACAGACATGCAGACGGACAGACAGACAGACGCGGACAGACAGACGGAAACGCGAGACCTATTTCTTCGTACTGTATGGGTCATGAAAGGTAGAGAAAACGTAAATGTAGAAAGCCGGCCGACGGACTCGATTACAATACTTCCTTCGCTTACGCTCGGGAAGTAAAAAAGTAAATAAATAAAAGGAGGAATCTTTTCGAACAGTAAATTCCCCATATATTTTTCCTGTTGGTCAAAATAAGTTCTTCAGTACATCTACAAAATTTTGATATTTATCTGAGGTAGGTCGTACCTACATCTAGAGATGACTTCAAGCCATAAAGTTGCTACCTTATCTGGAGATTTAGGTTGCGAATTTATATGTTTATTGTTGAAATTCTTACAATTATTTCAATAGAATTATCTTGATAATACTATCTAAGAATTTCATGATCATCGTTATCATCAATAATGAATATTAAAGATAGAGATGCTGGAGTTATTTTCACAGGCAGAGAGTAAGCTAGAGAATAGGTGAATACATTTTTCGACATTCTGTAGCTGTCAACATGAAGAAGTAGGTCTTCCATTTGTGTCTCTCATTTGTTGATGAATTCTAGTAAACAGATTACTGTGAAATTTTAGGTACACATCTAAGTATATTAATGTGTAGATAATAAAATGCTAATCAAAATGGTTCCATTAATCCTCACCAAAAATTGTATGCCGCCATTTCATAGTTTTCTTAAGTAAATCTTATTTAACATATGTTTCTATATCAGTGGTCTATTAACCCATCTTTATTTTTATAATTACGCATGTGGATCTTCAGAAAAAAAAAACTCAAAATTGTACAACAAAATTTTACAACTGATCTTAAAAACGCTGTAAACAATTTCTCC